GTATTTTAAAAATTATTTTCATAAAATATAATATAATATATAAATTATGTTTTACGACAATAAACAGGATATCATTGATGGGACAGTCGAGGGTAACTCATGCATACAAATACAAAGTCCATCGTTAGTGCAAATGATGGGCAAACTGACCACAAGTGAGGACTGTTTGGTACTAAACATATGGGCAGCTAATGGCGATAAAAGTGCATCAAAATTGCAGTTAAAACCTGTTATGTATTGGATATACGGCGGGGCACTTACTATTGGATCAGTATTTCAAAAGTTTTATAACGGGAGTGTTTTGGCCACCAATGATGTGGTCATTGTTTCCGTTAACTATAGAATCGGACAGTTAGGCTTTTTATATGGTGGCGATCAGACAGCACCCGGTAATCTGGGATTCTATGACCAACTTTTAGGGTTGAAATGGGTATATATATTGACTATTATTATTATTTAATGAGAAATTTTTTAAAATGTTTTATTAATAGGTTCGAGAAAATATTCATCAATTCGGTGGAGACAAGGATCAGATCACTATATTTGGTGAGAGCGCCGGCAGTATGTCCGTATCGGCACACCTACTCTCACCCCTATCTAAGGGTCTATTTAAGAGGGCTATTCTCCAGAGCGGGACTGAAATGTTTCATAAAGATAGACCGATTTTGGGAACTGTAGAGGCGTTGAGTAAAGCCAAAGAAACGGCCCGTAAAATGGGTTGTGAACCGTATGAACACAAATGGTTGGACTGTTTGCGAGCCATTGAGGACCCGAACCTATTTCTGGAGCCGACTGAGGGAGACGTTGGTTTTGGTGTCACGTGGCCTGTGTTTGGCACTGAATTCCTACCCCTTTTACCACAAAAGGCTTTTCAAACTAATGAATATAATTCTGGTGAATATAATATACAGTATTATTCTAATATAAAGGAGTTTAAAAATATAAAAGTTATAATTGATATAAAATTTATATATCAGATGTGGATGTGATGGCCGGTGCGACCAAAGACGAGGGTCATATGCTAGCCATCAGTCATTTCCCACAAATGAGGTCTGAGTTCAATAAAAACAAATTTCACGAATTAATAGAACTCCAGAGAGAGATCTACCATAACATAGACGTACAGAAAGTGTCCGATTATTATCTCCAGAATAGAGACCCCGAAAATCCTCATGACTTAAAACAAGCTTTCGGTCAACTTTTTGGTGATATGCTGATGGTGTGCCCCACCTATGAGTTCGCCAAAAGATTTGCCAAAAGTGGTCGAGACGTCTATTTTTATAGATTTAATTATCAGACAAATAGGTTTGCAATGTTTGGCTGCGATGAACATACCATATGTCACGCCGCAGACCTCCCCTATGTTTTTGGTGATCCCATTAGGACTCCCCAAATGTTTACGGAAACGGACTATGATTTCAGTTTAGAAGTTATGAAGATATGGACTAATTTTGCTAAAAATATGTGAGTTTTGCTGGGTTATTTTTTTATTCAAACATTTAATTACATAAATTAAATCAATAGAAAACCACACAATGTTTGGCCGAAACTAATAGACATTTCGGACGCGAATTCAGTGCCAAAAGTGAAAGACTTGAATCCCAACGATATGTCACTTGTTTTGGACAATCCTTACGGAGATATTTGTGATGGATTTTGGAGCGAATACCTTGGTGAAACAAAATGAGCATATATTATCAATAATTTACTTTCATTTAAACGTTAGTTTTATAAAATTCAATTATAGAAATAATTCAATTAAAACAAAACTACTAATTGATATGTTGATTTAAAAGTTTAAATAAATATTTAAAAAAAACTATTTCACGAATCGCTGATTGATGTGAACGAAGTGTTTCACAATATAGACGTCGAGAAAGTGATGCAATTTTATCTCAAAGATATAGACAATGAAAATAGCGCTCAAATGGTTGAGACATTCACTGCAATGTATACGGAATTAGCGTTTGTTTGTCCGACGTATGCGTTTGCAAAGAGATTTGCCAAAAGTGGTAGAAATGTCTACTTTTATCGTATGGGTTATCAGCCAAATATGATGACTGTGCTTGGGTGTAATGATAGGCATGTGTGTCATGGGGCCAGTAGTCAATATATTTACGGAAAGCCCGTAAGGAATCCGCAGATGTTTACGGAAACGGATTATAATTTCAGTTTAGATGTCATGAAAATGTGGACCAATTTCGCTAAAAATATGTAAGAGATGTGTGTTTTATTAGATTTATGTGATGCTTATGAAATATTTTGTTAAATGAATGAACTTGTTATAAATATCCTAAATAAATACTATTTATATTTATAGTAAACCCCACGAGGAATGGCCACTGTTTTTGAATAATAAACCAAATGTAGTGCCAAAAGTGAAAGACTTGAATCCTAACGATATGTCACGCGTTTTGGACAATCCCTATAAAACTACTTGTGATGGTGTTTGGAGTCATTATTATTAATAAAATTTATTTTAAAATAGTCTAATACAATAAAGACAATATTTTAAGTTTAGGAATCTAATGTTCATTTTGTTAAAGATAATATTTTTATGAAATTTAATGTAAATGTTAATTTAATTTCGTTTTATAAATATAAAGAAAAATTGTACAGGTATACAAAAAAGCTATTTGAACACTTTACCAATTAATTTAAACATGTTTAAACCCATGATATATCAACTTAATATATATCAAATTGAAGCTTATATATATGAGTATAAGTGTGCAAAATATCTTTTCTCTATCAATTAATCTGACCAATTTATTCAATCCCGAACCCTAGGTGTCTAAATTTGTTTTTTAAATCTATGTTAAAACTATAGGAAAATTAACATTGTGGTGCATTAAGTTGCTCGACATGGGAAACACCCGTAAATTTTTATGTTAGAAAAATTAGATTATTTATAAATAAGGTTGTTTTTAATTGTATTTTATTTAGGAATAATGTTTCTAAAGTGTGATAAAAGTACTTAGACCACTTTTGGTCACTTTTGATATACTCCCGTCGGGATAATGGACACGGACCTAAAATATTGGTCTCAAAAATGTAAAATATATGAAATTTGTTCGTAATTGAACAATTTGGTCACTTTAATTGATAGAGAAAAGATATTTTGCACACTTATTCTCATATATATAAGCTTCAATTTGATATATATTAAGTTGATATATCATGGGTTTAAACATGTTTAAATTAATTGGTAAAGTGTTCAAATAGCTTTTTTGTATACCTGTATATTAAAAATCAATCAATAAAACTAGCATAATTTATTTTATAATTTTAGTATAACAATAATAGTATTTAAATATTTGCAGTATTTTACAACTCAATATTTAAATGACCTTCTTTAGTGCACACATTACATTTAAGTGCATTAAGGATATACTATACCCAAACATTATGACATCAGTTATGGAGATGTGTATTGTGTTACGTAATAAAGTTTCAAGGGTTTATTTTTTAGTGCATTAAGTTCATAAATATTGAGTACTGTATAAAAGTGTTACATTTTATAAAGTTAGTCATATTTATTGCTGCGTTTTGTGAATTGATTTTGAAATTAATGTTTTAAAAATGTTTATTAATAATAAATTATGTTTTGTATTAATCGTGTGTTTGATTGAAAGGTGTGTTTGCGATGAGAGTAATAGTGTTGTCGTGAATACGAGTTCGGGTGGAGTGAGGGGACAGACACTGAATGTTGTGAATCACAAAATCAATCAATTCTTGAATATACCTTATGCTGAGCCCCCGGTGGGCCCACTCAGGTTCAGTCCACCACAACCNACAGACACTGAATGTTGTGAATCACAAAATCAATCAATTCTTGAATATACCTTATGCTGAGCCCCCGGTGGGCCCACTCAGGTTCAGTCCACCACAACCACTCAAAACGCCTAAAAAGGTAATAATTTATAATTTTTTATTTAAATTTTTTAAAGTAACAGTTAAAATTTTATTGATTTTAATTTTTAAAAATCATTTTAGGATATAATTGATGGGACGTTACCCGGAAACTCATGTATACAGCCTGTGATGGAAGCCTGGGAAAAGGCGATGGGTGATATCACCACAAGTGAGGACTGTTTGGTACTAAACATATGGACACCTCATGTGGAAAATAATAGTCCATTAAAAGCCGTCATGTTTTTCATATACGGCGGGGGACTGAGTATGGGCTCAATATATCAAAAGATGAATAACGCCAGTGCTTTGGCCACTAATGATGTGGTCGTTGTTTCGGTCAACTATAGGGTCGGACCCTTAGGTTTCCTATACGGTGGCGATGAGACCAGTCCTGGAAATCTTGGCTTTTATGACCAGTTATTGGGTCTTAAATGGGTATAAAATTTTTATTTAAAAAACTAATAATTTAGATTTGGTTTAATTATTTTGACATTAAATACAGGTTCGAAAAAATATTCATTTGTTTGGTGGGGATAAGGATGAGATCACTATATTCGGTATAAGCGCCGGTAGTTGGTCCGTATCGGCGCACATATTGTCTCCCCTATCAAAGGGTCTGTTTAAGAGGGCTATTATGGAGAGCGGGGCCGTTATGTACAATAAGGACAGACCGGCGCTCAGTACTGTTGAGGGCCTCCAAAAGGCTAAGGATTTGGCAAAAAGTCTTAATTGTGATGAATATGACTACAAATGGTTGGACTGTTTGCGAGCCATTGAAGACCCAAACCTTTTCATAGGCGCCGGGATTTCATTGACTCATCCCGTGTTTGGCACTCAATTTCTGCCTCTTTTACCACAAAAAGCAGTTGAAAATAATTTATATAATTCTGGTAAACATTTTAAAAAATTCAAATACCATTATATAAATGATGACAATTACCTTTTAAGAAAATTAATAAATTGATTTTATTTATCGATTACTATAGACATTGAGTTGATAGCGGGTGTCACCAAAGATGAGGGACCGATGTTGGCAGTGATGCTAATCCCGGAAATGAGGGCCCATTTATTTTAAGAAAATAAATAAATTGATTTGATTTATCGATTACTATAGACATTGAGTTGATAGCGGGTGTCACCAAAGATGAGGGACCGATGTTGGCAGTGATGCTAATCCCGGAAATGAGGGCCCATTTCACAGTCGAGTCGTTCAAGAAAGCCGTCAATGATTTCAGTGTTGAATACCGTAATAAATATGCGGATCAAGTGTCCGATTATTATCTCAAAAGTATTGACACAACAAATGAGTCCCAATTGAGGGGTGCGTTGAGTGCACTGTACGGCGATCTGTTGCTCACGTGCCCCACCTATCACTTCGCCAAACAATTTGCCAAAAGTGGACAAAATGTCTATTTTTATAGATTTAATTACAAGAGTAGTGCATTTAATCTAATGGATCTAGATGTTTGCACCGGCGATACTGTATGTCACGGGGCGGATGGTGCTTTTGTGTTTGGACTTCCCCTCATAAATCAGCAAATGTTTACTGAAACTGATTATGACTTCAGTATTGAAATAATGAAGATATGGACAGATTTTGCCAAAAATAGGTATTCATAAGTTATGCCTTAATTTTAAATTTTAATAGTAAATAGATCTGAAAAGGATTTTCAATTAAATGTGTTTATATTTCTATTAATAGAAAAGCAAACAATGTTTGGCCGAAACTAATAGACATTTCGGACGCGAATTCAGTGCCAAAAGTGAAAGACTTGAATCCCAACGATATGTCACTTGTTTTGGACAATCCTTACGGAAGTACTTGTGATGGCATTTGGAACAATTATTTTTGATAAATAAATACAAAAATAATGAGAAAATAATAATAACTTATGATATAATTAATATTTGAGTACGTTTCTGAAGTTACTTATACTTAATACAGAAATTAATTTAAATATGTAATTACTTTTACAGTATAAATTGACATAAGAAATTTATAAAATAAAATTACGCAAAATATTTAAACTAGCAATGTATACTAAATGTGGCACAATTTAACCACCGATTTATTCATGAAAGCCGTAAAATAAATATGTGGATGAAGTGTCCGATTATTATTTTAAAAGTATTGACACCTAACAGGAGGTCGTGGACTTTCATATAACTCAAGTACATAATGTACCCGGTTATCAGTATATAAATGTGTAGAAGATTGTTCATTTTACGTAAATACAATGTATATACAATAAGTGTTGTATATAGGAATGACATTGAATAAACGTTATAACTTATAGTACAAACAGGTAATTAAATTGTAAGTGCGTCAAGGACAGTTTACTCTATTACAATAGTATTTCAGAAAACTTTATTAATGTTTCAATTTCATTTTAAAATTTTTTTCTTATTTGTATGTTTTATGAATTTAAATGTGTAAAAAATCATATGTTTAAAATGTTTATTAATAATAAATTATGTTTTGTATTAATCGTGTGTTTAATTGTTCGTTTTATAAATATAATGAAAAATTGTATTGAGTTGTTCGAAAAGTATTTGGACTGGGATTAACTTGTAAACTAGATCAAATAAAAATAATTTGAAAATATACTTTTTTCGTTTTTTAATGGTCTTCCTTTTCCCGAAGACACAGATTTGTTGCTGTAAAGGGCTGGTATGGGG